TGTCATTCTTGTTAGATAGCAGAGCTCCAAGTACTTTAAACAAAGTCTTGGCTCGCTGTGCCCATGCCCTGCTCCTCCCTGCTCCTCCCAGGTCAGTTGGGGAACGGATGATGAATTTATTCCCAGCCAACCATCAGGCTGGGAGGTAATAACAGCATTGGCAGCCCTGGGGCATAAACTGCCTGGTCACAGCGTGTCTAGAGAGGGACAAGGACAAGTGCAAGGGCTTTCATTTTGGGTACCTGTAAACCCTTCAGGCCTCCAAGAGAAAAGCTGGCAAAAAAGCCACTTCACAAATCCCGACCATTTTAGTTGCCTGTGGTAGTGCTGAGCCTGTCCTAACCAAGATGTAGCATGGTCAGGACACTCTCGCTGCCTGATTTCCCTTCCTTCCACTTCCCTACCCATCCCAGAGGGGCTGGGGAGCATTTATTCATTATAAATTTGTTATAAATCTGAACTCTGCCACCTTGCATGGCACACAGGCACATCCAGTAAGACCTGGTCCCTCCCCGTGCCTTCTGCCCAGCACCATCAGCAACGTGGGAGCCCCAGCGGCTGCTCGACATCGCCATCCTCCTTGATTCTCACGTCTGTTAAAGAGACATTAAAAGGACGAGTCAAGAGGGGAAATTTGGGTGTGGGCTTGACCTTGTTCAATCTTCGCCTCCCAATTAAAACGGCAGCTCAGCTCACAGGCATCGCTCAGCAACTTTTGCTTTTTCTGGGCATTCAGTGCTGTTGCCTGGGGAAGGGCCGGGGAAGCTGAACATGACCCCCCCCAGCATTAACACCTCTCTCCTCACCTGCTTCATCACTCCCATCCCGTCTGCAGGCTCTAAACTTGAACCTCAGCCTGAGACAAGGCTCTCGTATCCAGCAGCTGGGACATCAAAGGCCTTTCCCTGCCAGCAGCAATGGCCCCAGCGTCCTGCCCCGTAGCACTAGAAAGGAAATTAAACGGGCGACAAGGGAGCTCTTTCAGCAGACAAGGGAATTTTCTGTGCTATCAACGAGATAAACTAATACTTCTTCCAGCTCTGGCAAAGGCTCAGGAACGAGACGTGGGGTGGAATCGTACTTTCATACAGATTTTATATCTCTTACTTCCCCTCCCAGGCTGCAGGATAACCATCGCCCTTGCTCACAAGGGAGCTCAGCGCTGCAGGACGGAGGGAGACACAGAGTCTGTTTGTCAAGAGGAGAAGGTTGGTCAGCTCCAGCACTTTGGGGTAATTTTACGGCTTCGCTGACCCAGTCCAGCTGTGGGGTGATGGATGCTGCCTTTCAGCTGCCTTTCGCACCCCCTCTGTGCCCAGCAGCCCCCGCAGAGATGAGCTCACGAGCTTGATCCCTGTATGATGCTCCCCTGTAGCTATATGGGGGGTGATGCCCATCAGGAGGGGGTGCATGAAGGTTCATAAAGGACTCAGCACCACAACCTGGCCCCCAACAAGGCACCCCGAATTGCCCGGCTGCCCCCTCTGTGCAACCTGAGGAACGAGTGTGGTGCAGCACCCCAAAAAGAGCTGGTGCACCCTGTCCTGCAGAGCCAGCGCCGTGTGGGGGACCCAGCTCGGTGCCGACCCACTGCACACCCCCGCCACAGCCTGGGGGTCCTTGACCTTCACTGGGGGACCCACTGGGAAGAAGAAGGGGAGCAGGTATGTCCCGTGCATGGAAGGAGAGCGGTGGCTCCTCCAGCTTTGTGAAATCAGGGGGGTTGTTCTCTTACCCCGGGTAGGGTGAGGGTGGGATGCCACGGGGTGCAAAAAAATCTACCCCTGCCCCAGCTCAGCCCCCTGCCCTGCCTGAGCTCAGCACCCAAATCCAGCATCCAGCCCCGTTCCCGCTGCCCAGGGCAGCTGCTCAGCCACAGGGACATCCCAAAGCATCGCCAGTATCCCCAGGAAAAGCCCAGTGAGGGACTGAAGGTTTCTTTGCATCCTCGGTGGAGCTGAAGAAGGAAGGGGGCTCCAGCCCCTTTACAGGGGGGCTGTGAGGCCTCACATTTCGCTTGGCAGTGGGTAAAAAGGAAAAAAAAAAAAAAAAGCCCCCCCATGCCAGTAACTGCCAGGAGCAAAGTGACTGCCAGCTGCTCGAGAGCAAAGCCTGGAGCAGATGCTCTCCCTGCGCTAAAAGAAAAGTCTCTCAAAAGGAAAAGCAAAATCAGAGGCGCCGATGCCTCTGCAGGCAGCCCGGGGTGTGTGGGGCAAGTGCTTGGCACGCCAAGGAGCCACCAGTTAGTGACAGAGCAGCTTCAGAGAAAACACGAATATTAAAATCGTTGCATCCTTCGAAATGATGCGTCTTACCCGTGTCTGTGTGCGAGCCCACAGGGCTCAGCCTCCACCCACCCCTGCTGGGCGCAAATCCTCTCTGTGCCCAGGACCAGCATCAGGTCAGCCGAAAACACAGACATTTCCCACCCCCGTTCCAGGAAAAAAGTTGCCTTCAGAGATTACTTTCCCGGGGCGGGGGCGTGTCCACTTCTCACCTTGACTGAAAGCACACCTTTGTCATTACCATGTTTAATTACACACTGCTGGGATATGTTATTGTAATTAGCCTGTAGTTAAACAGCCTCGATGTGTGAGTGTCTGCAAGGATCCTGCTCTGGCTGCTCCCCCGCTGCAATTCCAGCGGTGAACCCCATTTCTCGCCGAACAATCCCGACCTGCAGACGTCGGCTTTTACCCACCCGCCGCCCTCGAGCCGCCCGACAGGTGACCGCGGATGACGAGGGCATCCCTGGGGCTCTGTGGGGCACGTAGGGTGCCGGGCGGGTGAGAGGTGGGCCGAGGCTTCGGATGAGCCATCGCCCGGCTGCTCGTTTTCCCCAAGTGCGGCTCAGGCGAACGCCCCGGGGATGTGCACCCCAAAGCCAGCCCCTGCCCCAAGCCAAGCCCCGCGGACCCTCCCCGGGGTTTGCTCACAAGTGGGACATCCTCCTCCTCTTCCTTTCTTTTGCCCTTCGAAAATTTAATTGTATTTAACTGCCTTCACGCAGGGGATGGGGAGGCAGCAGGGGGGTCCCCAAGCCAGGATGCCAGCAGCACCCACCCCGCAGAACAGCTCAGAGACAAATAGGATGGGTTTAAAACTGAAAAATTACAGAAAATTTAAAAACCAACCTCCCCCAGCCCCTGAACAAAGCAGCAGGCTTCTTTTTCTTCACTTGGAAGTCTTTTTTTTTTTTCTTTCCTCATTTTCCCTTTACACCCAAGGAAAAGGGCTCTGAGTGCCAGCCCCACAAGGTGCCATCCCAGCAGACAAAAAGGCCACACTCCTTTTAAAGCACTTCTCTTTTTTTTTTCTTTTTTTTTTATTGATTTCATTGAAAACAGAACAAGAAAATGATCAGAGCCAAAAGGCTGCTCCTTTAAAACTGTTCAAAAACATTAACAGAAAAAAAATAATAATAATAAACATGACGGCATTATGAATGTTCTAGAAGAGATGAACAAAAAAAAAAAACCTGTTACTGCACTAATTACAGTATTTAAAGATATATGCAGAAAAAAAAAAATTAAGATAATGACCTGCCCAGCCACCACACAAAAGGTGATGGCAAATTTATTCACACTACAATACTAACAATTTAAAAAAAGTTTTTTTCCTGCATTTTTATACTAAAATCACTTTGTTCTTTTTATACAATTGATAGTTTATATTCACGTGGTGAGCAAAAATCACACCAGAATCAGCACCGTTTTGTTTTGTGGTTTCTTTTTGTTGTAGTTTTGTTTTTGTGGTTTTTTTTATTTTTATTTTTTTAAAATTTTTTGTGGGTTTTTTCTTTTTCCTTTTTTAATGCCAGTCCCCAATGTTTCAGTAATGGTAAAAAATAAATCAGTTTATTGAAACCTCATAGCGTGTGGCTTAAAAATCAATCGAAGGTGCCCGGCGTTGAGAAAAGTGATGGGAACGAGACGAGCTGGTGGCATCTGGGATCTTCTCGCCGTGACACGTCCCGTCTGCTGTTCGCCCCTGCCGGCGGATGCGAGTCGAGGTTCTCTATAATATATATATCATCCACTTTATTTTTTTTTTAAAAAAAAAAAAAAAGAGAAAAAAAATGGTTTCCTTAAGAAAATTAGTGTCTTGTACAATCCCCTTCAACCTTCCCTCTCTCAAACCCATGCAAAGGGAATCGTTGCACCGAGGACCTGAACACTGAGACAGTAACAACGAGGCGTCGGCGAGAGCTGGTTTGTGACGGAGGAAGCCCAGGAGGGAGCGGGGTCTTGCGGGGAAACGTCTCCGCTCAGCTCAGGACAGAGCCGGGGAGCAACGGGGTTGGAAGGACTCTGGGTTTCTTTGCAGCAGAAGAGAAAAAAAACCCTAAAAACAGCCGGTGGATTTGGTAAGAAGGAGGGTATTCCTTAAAAAGGTCCTCGGTCTCCTAAGGGAAAAGGCCCCACTGCAACGTCCTGGGAGAAATTTGTGATTTTAAAAAAAAAAAACCACAACAAAACCAACAAACCAACCAACCAAACCAACCAGCAGAACCTGCCCCGGGGACTGTGCTGAGCAACCCCAAGTGGCAGCACCTCCCTCCCCCTCCCCGCTCCCCCCAGCTTGTAGAAAAAAAGTCCCGTCAAGTATTCAAAGTTTATTACAAGTGAACTGGAGATGACTTGGCGTGAGCGATCCATTCAGTTAACAACAGTCGGAGGAGGAGCGGCTCTCCCTGGGCTCTGACAACACGTTAAGAGACGGAGGCCAGGACAGCTCGCGCTGGGGGACAAGAAAAAAAAAAAAAAAAAAGGAAACAAAACCGCAACGGCCCCCCCTCCACACGTAACTGTGAAAACCAGCAGCTTTCCAGGACCGGGGAGGGGAGAACAACAGCATGGAGGTGAGATTTGCTTTTACTTATTCCTCAAGTAACAGTCGGTGGCACAGCCCTAAGTGTCACGAACCCCTGGCTTTCCTTGAGCACGTTTTTCGTTTCTATTTTTTTTCGTGGGTTTTTTTTCTTTTTTTTTTTTTTCTTTCTCTCTTTCAATGGAAATTCAGACAGTATGTGAATCTATCGGGTTAAAACAAGTCAGTCTCTGGGGAGCGGAGCCTCAAAAGGGGCCGGCTGCCGTGGCAGAGCTGGTGTCAGGGAGCCCGTTTTCCTGCGTGTCCTGGGACGAGGTGCTCGCCTGCCGCTGGGCCAGCGCTGAGCTCGAGTGTTTGCACTTGGGTGAACCGCACTGACAGCTGAAGTATTTGCCTTTGATGTCCCAGAACCTGTCGCCGTAGTCAAAGCTGCAAGAGAAAGGACAGAGATGGGGTCACCGCAAAGCCCGCGGTCCTCGGTGCTGCTGTGACTTGGGTATTTTTTTTTCGCAAAGCTTCAGGGGACGGAGCGTGTTTGCGGGATCCTCGGGGGACACACGTGCCAGAGAGGAAAGGGATGGAGAGAACCAGCTCGGGAGTAGCACCTACCCGATTTCTTCTCCGGCTTCTATGTGCCTCGTGCTGAAGAAGGCGATCCTGGGAAAGCGGAGGTCCTGATGCGACATGAAGACTCGCACCGGGATGAGGTTTGGCTCACAGAGGTGGTTTATAAAGCGGCTGATGTTGCCATAGAAACGGGCATCTATGCAGTACACCTCTCCATCCTAGGGGAGAAACGCAGAGCCCTTCATTAGCTGAGGTTCGGTTCCGTATCGCTACCGCCCAGATAAAACAAACGACCAGAACCAGACTATCGGTCCCTCCACTAACGCTCCAGAGAGCTTCCAGCAGGAGAATGGCCAAGGGCACGACACCCTCTGTGGATTTAAAAGGACTAAACACGCCTGATTTGATATTCACCTGTACCCATTTTCTGCCCCCGCAAGCCCAAAGACTTTGAAAAGGCCCCCGACGCTGGCTGCACCCCAGCTCTGCCCAGCCCCACGCCGCTGAAGCACCAGTTCGGCGGAGAGGGATTGATGTTCGGTGCAGACAGACACCTTGCGGGGAAAAAGCCACTGAAGAGGGGAACAGGCATCTTGTTCTGTCCTCTAATTGAACACGACAGCCAGGAAACACAAAGCCAGAGCCTCGAGAAAACACATTTTTTTTGCAGATAAAAGTGAAAGTGAGAACACAGAAATTCCCTTTCCAGAGAGCAGTAATATTTTGCTTTCCTTGAAAATAAAAGAACTCCCCTCAGGGCTTTTCTTTTTTTTTTTTTTCTTTTTTATTCCAGCAGAGAATGACTGTGCAAAGCAGAGGCTTTAATTACAGCAGCTAATTTCAGTTGCAAAGAGGCCAAAAGCAAAAGGATCCATTAGCGGTGCTCGAGCTCCCTTCTGGACAGGCACCTTGCAGCGGGTAATGGATGAGCTGTGCCAGGTCACCGTCCCCGCCACGCGGTGCAGGAGCCCAGGGATGATGTCCCAGCGACCGGGAGAGGCGTCACCCCACGTGGTGCCACAGCACACACTGCGGGACCACTGCTGATTGCGGGTATTAGGAATTCCCATCATTGCCTCACTTTCATCCCTGGAAATGCCACGGTTGGTGAGGACAACAGCCCCCACTGCTGCATCTAGTGACCATCTGGGGACATCAGAGCTCTGCACCACACAAGTCAAGGTGCGTTTCTTAAGAAAGGAACCTGCTGCCTTGACCAACACGGGCAGTGTCCTCCCCGTGAAGCTGCTGAGGAGGACAAGTGCCAAAGCAAACTGCTTCTCGCCTTGATCTGAGAGTATCAGGAACCAAGAGTCACACGATGGCAACCAGAGAAAACAAGGGGAAACGGATTTGAATTAAAGGAAAACACATTTAGATTGGATCTTAGGAAAAAATTATTCAGTCTGAAGGTGGCAAGACTCTGGAATAAATTGCCCAGAGAGGTTGTGGATGTCTCCTCCCTTGAGGTGTTCAAGGCCAGGTTGGATGAGTAACTTGTTCTAGTTGAGGTGTCCCTGCCCACGGCAGGGGGTTGGATTAGATGATCTCTAAGGTCCCTTCCAGCCCAGGCCATTCTAGGATTCTATGCAGAGGAGAAACCACAAACCTGCTCTGGGGTGAGATGTGTCTCCTTCTCAAGAGTGGGAAGGCGCTGGGCTTTCTTAGAAGGGAGGATGCCCAAAGGAAACCCTTCTTGCAGGTGGGCAACAGGGGCCACAGGCCCCTCCTCGATGGACCACGGCAGGGCCGAGTGTGTGAGCAAGGATCTCGCAGCATGGGCCCACGCGTGGTGAAAGGGTGGCTTGACACGAACAGAAGGCAACCACACCAGCTAAAACTCAACCTCGTCTTCCCCAGAAGCAGTGTGGTTTTTTCCTGGCTCCCCAGTACAGAGCCAACAACACCACCCCTTTAACCAGTGGAAGCTCTGAGAGCATCTGCTGTGCCATGTCCTCCTCCTGGAAATCCAGCAACAGCAGCGAGTTTTGGCTGTTTGACGTTTGCCCTCCTTCAGACGTGGAACGGGACGTGACTGCAGGACCTGGCACACTGAACCATTCACCACGCACGTGGCCTTGGGTGTCAACTCCAGAACAACAACAGCAGAAATGAGGACTCAGCTCCTCCCTCTCTACAGCACAAGCCCATTCAGGCCACTCCTGCGAGAAACACCAGGACTCCAGGGCTGCTCCTCCCAGGGCTGGGTTTCTCACCCTTGGTTACTTCCCATCTCTGAGGAGGCCACGGGACCCGGCTGGCTCTGCCCAGCCCAATGGGCTGCTTTCAACAGTCACTCCTTGACGTGGTGCCTGGGTTTCTACAGATGCTCCACTTTGAAGACACTCTGAAAAAAGATGATGCTTACGCCTGTATTCAGGTCTCCCTCCTTGCTCCACTGAAGGCTTCGTAAGAGCACAGGCAGAGGTTCTCCCTCAGAGGGGGACAACCTCCTCAAGGAGGCTGGCTTGAGACAGCCAGGGGCTAACCTCCAGGCAAGCCAAGGCCCAGGAAGGCTTTTGCTCATAAATGCACAGACCAGCACAAGTCTCTGCTGCTGCATTTCAACTTCTTAATTATAGTTTGACCCCGCTGTTTTCAGACTGAGGACGAGACTCATTACTTATATTTTTCCAGCTGATGAATGTCTGTCACTTTCAAAAAAGAAAAAAAAAGAAAAAAATAAAAGCAAAGCTTCTTTGTCGCTAGCTGATGACAGAAACAAGACACAGGCTGTTTTACAGCCCTTCTTGGAAGCGACCCCACTCCTCTGAGTCCTCAGCTCACCTTTCTCCTCCTTTCCCAAGGCAAGTCTGAAGTGATGGCCTTGCTTAAAAGCTTTAGATCGCACTTTTCAAAGCAAGATTTCTGCCCTGAGACAGCCCTCTGCAGAGCAGCACACAAGAACCAGGAGCAGAACAAGCCTCAAGTCCCTACCAGGGCATCTGACGGATCCCTTCAGAAGTAAGCTGGGTTTGCTGGTTGTTTTTTTCGGTCTTCAAGTTGATCTTTTTATGAAGAACTTCCAGAGCTGCCAATCAACACAGCTACAAGCCTGCATACACACACGTGAGTATCAAAAACTGAACAACCGAATTCAAGATGCCCAAACGGTTGTGACAGAAGAGCATCTTGCATCAAAACTGGCGTGGGCAGCACGAATCGTGGTGGCCCAGCGCCGCTGGGCTCTGTCACCATTTTAACAAGCCCTAAGCTTTGCCTCGACCGCACTATATCCTGACTACAACACAGCAAGGATGCGGGTCGTCCTCCTCTCTGCAGGCTTTCAGATCGTGCTGTACGTCAAGATGGGAGACAAATATCCCCGTTGCTCTTTTGGAGAGGCAGGACCTTGGGTTTGTCTCGTTAGACACCTTCAGATACAGTACCTTGTTGTCAAGGTCGAAGAGGTAGGAGTCCTCTTCACGGACGTCCGCTTCGGAATCGGATATCAGCTCACCAACGTACCTGCGGGCAAAGAGGAAAGGCAGAAATAAGATGCTCACGCAATCACAATTGGGTTTAAACATCTCCCAGATGGGAAGCCACAGCCATCACAGCATGGGTCATCTCAGAGCCTCCCGGGCAAATTGGGCTTTGCCAACCTACAGTAGCTAAAATCTGGCACCAGACTCCACCTTTTCAGGGCAACTCTTTCAATATTAAAAATGGGAGTCTTACTTCCAGCAAAATTTACTTTTTCCTGAGGACTGTGTTTCCTTTTGCAAACACCTTTTTTTTGGCCAAGATCAACACATTAATCCAACTCTCCTTGTGTCAGACTCACACTCTGGCTTTCCAACACACCACTTCAGTGCTTGTGATGTTTACATCTCCCCCAAAAAACGTTTGTGTCTGTCCTTCCTGTATTTTCCACGGTATTTTGACCAATGATATAGGCTACATATCTTAGACAGTTTTGGTTTAGAAGACTTAGGTCTGACCTAACCTTTCGTAGAATGTCTTAGGTTGGAAGGGACCTTAGAGATCATCTAATCCAGCCTACCTGCCATGGGCAGGGCTGCCCTTAACTAGACCAGGTGGCTCAATCCCTCTGGGATTCTCAACCCCTCTGGAACCAGAGTAAATCTGAGCTGTGATCCCAGTAGCAACCACCCTGCTGTAAAACCAGGCGCAAGGCAGATTACAACCAGCTCTTCCGCGCACCATGAAGCACGTGCTGCTTGGCCTGGCTGGCCAAGAAGGACTAAATAAATGCAACCACCTTCCACACCCCAGGCAGACGTTGGTTTTGACGCAAAGCCCCTTGTTGTGGGAGTCCCCACTGCACTGGTGTTCCCATGCTGGTCTCCCCATCTCTCTCCATCTGAAACAGTTTTAGACTGTCAAGGTTCAACATTTACCTGCCCTGACCTGCTGGTAACCAAAGCAAGAGACCCAGGAGGAGAGGTGCTGAGCCAGACGACATGAGAAAGAAGCAACAGCACAGAAGATTCTGGCACCTAAGTTTTCCCAGCCTGCAACGCCGCGCTAATGAATGAGATGCAAAGGATTCACGATGCGAATAAATATTCTTCACAGCATCAACGGAGACTTCTACGATCAGCAGCCGTTACCACAGCGTCCCTCTGCAGCTCTCAAGGTATTTTCCAAGCATTAACCAAGCGTTTCCCGCCGTGGCTCAAGGCGGCGTTTACCTCCGGGGCTGAGGACGAGGAGAGCCACGAAAAACAAGCCCTCAGGGGACTGGCATGCTCAGTGGCAAGGGATCGTTTGGCTGCAGTTCCTAAATCTGAGCGATTCGGCCAAGCGGCTCTGCCAGGGTGGGAGGCTGCTGCCGCCTGCCATCCTCCCGTTCGTCCCCAGCACAGCTCTGCTGGTTATTAAGCGCTCCCGTAAGGCTGCGGCACTGCTGGAAAATCACACGCGCATCGGTGACCTAAAGTGACAGAGGAGGGTGCTGGCCAGAGAGAAATTGCTGTGGCACGGCACTGGAGCCAAGGGCAGCTGAATAACACTGCACGGAGAGGCTCTGCGCTCAGGGATGGCCCCTTCAGGTTTACAGCTCGGTGAAACCCAAAACCACAATCTAATTACAAATGGTTGCTTTGATGCTCCTTTAAAGACTATTCCTGTAACTCCTTTCCTTTCCAGGACTGCTTACAGATACCAACGGTTCCCAAGTCCAAAGTTGTGGAATAACATGCAAGAGGCACATGTTCCTACCCAAAAAAAGAGCAGAAGTGTCAAGCTTTGTCATTTAAGGACTCCTGAAGTCAAGCCAGTGTGTTTCTTCTCAAGAAGATGCTCGGCACGCTGATGGCATGTAGCTACTCTCAGAGCCCGAGATGAAAGCAAGTAACTCCAGAGCAAGTAACTACATCACCACTGCTGGATCAGAGCACACTCCACACAAAAATCAGGAGCAACAAGAAGTTGCCAGCAGAGGCTCCAGTGTTTTCCGTGGGGTGTGGGAGACAGGATGCCTGGGGCTGCTCTGGCTGAAGGTGTGGCTCGATGCAGACAGCATCTTATTAAAGCATCACTGTTTTGTACAGAAACAAAATATTTTAAAACCACTGAAAGGACCAGACCAGATCTTCGCAAACCTCTGGTTTCCCCACCCTGCTGATTCGCAGTCTCTCCAACCGAAGCCCTGAACCAGCCGTGCCACCTCCAGA